GCAGGCTCAGGCAACTTCCATGGCCATGGAGTCACCATCCATCAGAAGGTGAGGCACCAGAACCTCCACCCACAGCTCAGAGAATGAAACACACAGAACTGCAATAAGCAGCCAATACTCAGTGGAGACTGGGAATATTCCCTGCAGGTTCTACTAACAACCTACTTCTAGAATGGTTTGAGTTGGAAGAGACCTTAAAGATCATCTCAGGCAACTTCCATGGCCATGGAGTCACCATCCATCAGAAGGTGAGGCACCAGAACCTCCACCCACAGCTCAGAGAATGAAACACACAGAACTGCAATAAGCAGCCAATACTCAGTGGAGACTGGGAATATTCCCTGCAGGTTCTACTAACAACCTACTTCTAGAATGGTTTGAGTTGGAAGAGACCTTAAAGATCATCTCATTCCAACTCCTGCCATGGGCAAGGACACCTTCCACTAGCCCAGGTTGCTCCAAGCCTCATCCAGCCTGGCCTGGAACACTTCCAGGGATGGGGCAGTCACTTAGAAGTGGCATGCCAGACACTACTGAATTCTGCTGCCAGGCTTTTTAGCTATGTGAAAGACCAAAATTTGCCAAGTTGCTTCTAATATTTCAGTAGTACACAGCAATTCCCCCCAGGGGTCATTATTACTTACCTCCTCTGGTTTAACCTCTCTGCTAGTGAAATCCTTTATGCAATCCAGGAAGCAGTTTTCTGTAAGCTTATTGTATGTGCCAAGGAACTCCTTGAACTGTAAATAAAAATTGGATAATGAGTATTAAAAATAAATCTGCATTAACTTTTCTTACACAGAGCTGTCTGGGCAGCTGCTGATACCAGTTCTGAAGGACAAGTCTGGAAAAATTTACTATCAGTCGGAAGATTTCAGCACCAGATGCTGCTTGGACTTGAGACAGATGTACTGCATTTGTCTACAGTCAAATGTTTAAATTTTGGTTGTTATAGAACTAGTTTTAACTCAGATGATCAACTCCTTCCTCATGCCCTCACCTTTTACTCCAGGTGACAAAACAGCACAAGATCTTCAAAGCCACCACTCAAATGCAGCACCTTACCTGCTTGATCTGATCCGATTCGGGTATCTGTCCAGCCATACTCCACCCTCTGCAATTCAGTCACCTCTTCTGAGGAGAGAAATTGAGTTTGACACAACAAGTATTCACAGAACTGCAACATTTTGCATCAGAATGGAATTTTATATGTCCCTGCAGTGTGTTTAAATACAACTTTGCCAGCAAACTTCCAATCCATTCACCCAAAAGGAAGTTATCTGTTTGAAACAAACTTAGGTAAAAGAACATCCAAAATAATTCCAGGTATGAAACTTTCCCAGATCCATCCAGTAACTGCTCTCCTTTAAGCACTTTTAAAGCATTTCAAACAGCTAAAACTTATAAAATACTTTATTTCTATCTTTAAAATGCTATCAAACTCACAAAGTGAAACAGGCAGGAGCTGGGGGAGAAACTAGCCACAGACCAAGCCAGAACGCTTTCTAGCCTTGGAGTTTCAGTGGCCTTGGATCCCACCTGTAAAAACTAAGGAAAAAAGGGAAGTATGAAGTGGGAGCCACTCCAGGCAGATGCAGCAGGAGCCAGCCTGCACCAGAGCAGCAGGGGCCTGCTTTCTGTGGAGCACCATCCTCACCAAACACTTAAACCACAGCAAATGTTCTGATCATTGAATTAGTGAGTTAAATGCAAGGAAAGGCAGAAGAATGAGAATGGCCTTAAAGGAAGAATGGACAGCCATGGATCCAAGAATTTCAGCTAGCATCCTCAAAGATGACTCAGATTCCTAATCCAACACACTAAACAAGTTAGGGCCTGAAAGCATCCCTGGAGGTTTCCTAGAATACTAAAACCTACTCCTCCTTAATTTACATATTATCCAGGACCTATCACAGATGCTAATGCAAACTAGATTCACATGTTGACAAGCATAAGCTCCTTCAGTGTAGTTCACATCAACTTGTGAAGAAAAATGAGCACTGAAGTGTAATCACTTTGTGGGGACAAAAAGTTCATTTAGCCCTTCATCAACTTACAGTTAACCTTCTATTATGCTTTGCCAAATTTGGGGCAAGACACTCATGTTTTAGAAAGCTTTAACCATTCCAGTGTCTCAGCAGGGGGAAAGGAGAAGGCAAATAAGTTTCCTGAACAAGAACAAAGAGATATCAACAATTATTTCTACATCAGAAAGAAAACTAAGCAACTAAAAATAGCACCATGAAATGAAAGGAGGGGAAGGGGGGAAAGAAGGGGAAAGGGAGGGAAAGGAGGGGAAAGGGAGGGAAAGGGGGGAAAAG